CCCCCGCCTTAGGGTGGCTACACATAGTCCTCCACGGTATCAATAGAGAGAGGGGCAGCATAGCCACCCTTGGACAGCAGCATTGTCACCGTGTACAGAGTAGGGTTAGATGGCCTGGAAGATGTAGAAGGACTATATAGATGAGAGTGACTAACATATACAGTTACATATGGGTAAAACCTTTATACCAAAAATGTAAGCGCCCCCCTGTCAATGAGCTTTGTTCACTCCCCAGTGGGTTTTACATTCCCATACAAGTCTATAGAACTGCAAAACCCACTTAAAGGTCAGGAGGAGGTCAATGAATGCTTTTAGGAGAGTGTCAAACTGATGCCATTGACGTTGGCCCCAAGCCCAGCAACACCAGGCTTGTCTCAACCCTCTAATTGACAAATCTGCTGGACAGCTTGGGTCACTGCTCAACCCCCATGTTGGCCACACACAGCATTTCAACCAGTCTTCAGTCTTTCATATGATTGAAAGGGATGGCGGGTCAACCACACTAGTTATTAGTGTGTTGCCTTCTTAAAGGAAAGAACTCCAGGCAGAGTAAAACTTGGTAGCCTCACTGGAAGGGTTAAAGGCTCATTCTGGTCCAGGGTTTAAAATAACAAAGATCTACTTATCCAAACCTGGGCCCTACCTGCCTGCTAGACCATCCCTTTAGCTCCTTTCCCCCTCCCCTCCGGTGGTCTGAGAACCTGTGTGTCATCCCGTCTTATAGAGTGTATTGGACGTCACAACGACAAGACATTCCACCGCTGGAGCCCAGGGGAGAAGGGGCTGCAGGAACTGGTCTAGCACCCAAGCGGGACTGAGGATTGTGAGTAGTAAGTGCCCGATTTGATGGGCTACAATAACTCTTGCAGTACGGGGTATGATTGGATATGTGTGTGTCCAACACTATGGGGTTCATTAATAAAAGCCATTCTCAAGACACTTGTGCCCATAGATGTCACTGAGGCATATAGGATAATCTAGACTCATCAGGGCCAGGCACTGGTGGCACTAGATGGCCCTGATAGGGGTATAAAAGTTCCACCCACTTAAGTAAAGCAACGGTCAACATTTTTAAGAATGCTCCATGCAAAAAAAGAGGGTGAAGAATATTTCACATTCTGGTTGGCAGCACTAAACAGGTTAATTGGCCAACTGTCCCACACTAAAGGTCCTCCTATATTTCTGGTTGTCACCAGAGGGAGGGCTAAAGAACATGGATATCTGGAAGGACTAGTCTTAGAGCAGTCTGAAGGCCATTGATTTGTGATGGTTCTAGGAGTTGTAGATGGACAAGTTTAAAAGGAGGCATGTCTAGGAAGAAGAGGCATTCCCTGTCTGTTTTTAATGAGGACCGGTCATGTGACAAATCTGGAAATAGCCAGGCTGAAGTTGAATACTTTGAGTTGGGATACCAATGCTGGCTGACTTTTCTCCAACGGTCCTCAGGGACTGGGAAGGTATTAAGCATTTTCAGAAGGAGAGCTGAGCCCTGGTACTTAGTTTAGTACAGGTCTTCTAGTACAGGTCTTCTTCTGCCCATAGCCAAGGTATTGACTGGCGGAGGCCTTGGTGTGACATCTGTCACTGTTTATGTTAAGTTTACCCGTCACGTAGGACAGAACAGTGCGGTCATTGTGAGCTGCATTTTCCAGGATTCACAATTTCCACTTGGCCACAGACAAGCTTCAGAGTCTGAATCACCGAGCTGTACTTACATGGCCCGCCGCACTTGTGGTTGGAATCTTAGCTTGAAACATCTCTGGCTGCACGGCTGCTCCTGGATGGATCAGGTTTATTTATTTCTCATCTGTAGAGAGAGAGAGGAGAGAAAAGATGAGCAGGTATCCTACAGGGCACCATTATGAGACCACAAGCCAACCCCTCAGCCCTAGAGACGAGGGAAGAGGTGACAGAAGGTTAGAGATATGAATGGGCACCAGACCAAATGGGTGAAAGAGTCTGCCATTGAATAATTGAAAACAGTCAACACATTTCAGGGGCAACAACACTCCCCTTCAGCTGGGGTTGAAACAATGTGGAGACCTTCAACTCAAAGGACTGAACGAAATAAATGTTTTCATTGGTGTGGTACCAGTTCTCCTTTTGGACTAGATTACATGGAGTGTTCAGCAACATTTGTTCTGTATATGGTGGGGACACAGGGAGGGTGACTAGCTAGCAGTGTTCTCTGA